GCTGTAGATTGTCACTACGATAGTTTGGATGTTTTGGTTTTTTTCGTTTTTATTTCTCTAGGATGGGTTGTAGCGAGGTATCCTTAAGCGGGCTATGCAACCAAACTCTCTGACTTATCCCAGACTAAGCTAAGACGCTAAGTTCACAATTAAAGGGTCTAAATGACGAGAAACAACGCTTCTGTTTGAATTCGTACATGTACCAGGGAATTCTCAGGGTTTTCCCCAGGAATGTGGAAGTGGTCAGTGTTTATGTCATTTCAGGAATACAGTCACGTGAAAAACGTCATGTGACCGACCTCTCCTCCAATGGAAAAGCCGTATATCTTGTAAACTTCACATAAAAAAATAGTTACTTTTATAACCAAATGAAACACAACCCATTATCCGATAGAGGTAACTGTGCATAGCGGAAGGATATGTTATCACAATAAACTTGGTAACATGGTTTGATTTGACTTCTTGGCGCGTGTCTGAATTCCTTTAACATGTTACATATCCTAAAACTGGCTTATCAGCTAATCTCGCTGCACTACGCGCGACAGATACTAGAGCAAGGCATGCCAGAAATACGAAACCTTATGCTTACCGAAAGGATGCCTTAGGCATCACGTGCGTCGGGGGACCAGCGCCATCTCATTGGCTGTTAACAGTTGTACAAGGCGGGGCACAAAGCATCGTTTTTCCGTCCATTTTACGCTTGAAAAACTCGACCCTTTTCCGGACACTTTCTAGACGCTCGCCAATTAATCAATTTTAATGAATTTTTAGTCGTTTTTCCGTCCAATGACCATATACGGGAAAAACGACGTTTTCGTGTTTGCAGTGACAGTGGCTATTGTGGGGATCACATTCATGGTAGTTCAGCCGAAGAGGTATGCAGATCTATATACGTCTTTGGTTCAGCTTAATAAAATAACTAGAAAAACGGCACAATAATAGGGCTAGATGTTAGGTCGGACGTTAACAAACTATATTCATTCGCTTACTGGTATATTATGATAATTAAAAAAAATGGAATGGGCCTAAATGACAGTTCACATGAGCCTGCTGTAGGGAATTTAAAATGAGATATTATTTGCGTAGGTACGTTTAAGAAACGCGTATACGTCATTGATTCAAAGCTTCAGCACCAAAGTCTCAGGGGATGCTGAGACAAATGTGAATTTTTACCACTGATTGAGTTTTTCACTTTTTACCATTGTCATTGCATATATGACTTCATCACATACATAAATCATCATTGAAAAAAGGAGGGAAATGACATTGATATTACACGTTTTTAATACAGTTTTTAGGGAAAAAGTAATTGTTGATGAAGTAAATGAAATTAACCCATTATCCCCATTGAAACGCTACATATAGCATACATGTACCATGTATATCATAGTAAAGATGTAACTGTAAACGTCGTCTATTTTGTAAGCTGTTATTCGGCATCGAGTGTTTCGGGGTTCCTTTATTCCATTCGGAAATAATCCACTGCAGAACAATGACGGGGGACATCTAACGTGCTATTGTTGCCTTGTCACGACTAGACATCCTGTTGAAGATGTGACTTAAGTTTACTATAATTGCTAAGATAATGCGAAGATGAAACAGTTACGTACCAGTTTTGTGCAAATAAATCTTTCAGTCGCTGCTTAAATATTCCCATAAACATAAATGTTTCCAATATCCCGTGCAAGGAAATGTATTTATCAGTCTTACCAGACAAGTCATTAATAAGATCGTTTTGTAAATTTAGAATCTCATTACATAATTTTAATGTAAATATGTGTCGGAAATCGAAAGATATTGATGCTGTTAACAGTGTTTGTACGAACAGTGACGGAGGTGAAATTGAAGATGAATTCCATGTCTTATTTAAGGGTAACAAGTATTCCAAGTTAAGATCTACATATCTCCCCTTCTTGAATAATGACTATAAATCTGAAATGTTAATGATAAATATATGTTTGGAATCACAGCAAGACTACTCATCCTCTCAACATTAGTGAGCGAGTGAGTTTCTTTGCATTTTAGTTTTTAAAGGAGGCTGAAAAGCATATGCTGAATGTCGCGCATGAATGTAGTAACGAGAATCCGGGGTACATGGGTATGTGTGGTGACGAATCACCAGGGATATTCACATGGGGCTTAATTGTCATCACACTGGACAGCGTTGGTCTTTGACTGTCTCACTTATAGGGAATGGACTATTCTTCTTTTTTGTTATTGATGGAGAAATAGTACTTGTTGAAAGAGTTTTAACAGTGACATAACAACTACAGCTTTATGTGATCTGTAGCTATTTGGGAAGGATATGGAAATCAACATTTTCTATATAATCCTACACATTGTTGCTGATTTAACAGTTACAATTTGCAGATGTGTTGAAGTTTAACATGTAGCGTGTTCCTCACTATTTTAAGTATAGTACATATACAATACAAACTCGGGACTTCTATCTACATATACTGTTTAAAAATGCCTCAATCAGATTAATGTTTGCGTACTATACCGGTTGTGAGCTAAACTAACGCTTAGTCTCTGAAAATATATAATTTTGATAGAAACAAACAACTACATTTAAGTGAGATGGGAGATTCAGACCTTGGAGAAAGCTGGCATTGCTTAATTGAGAACTATAGCATTACAGTAAGGGCTGGCCGGAAGGGAAATAATATGATTCAGGGACTGTGACAAAAGACCAGTTGCGAGTTTCGTTTCGTTGTTATCTTGCATGAGAAATGTTTTTGATTATATGTATTTTGTTTTATAAACATTGAATATTTCTATGTGATGGCATTAAATCAACTTAAACATTATTGACTGACACAGAGGCAAACATATAGCGCAAAAACTGTCGATCCTGGTTGCGAAGAACTGCCTCTTACCATTTATATTATTCATAACCTGGATACAGAAACAGTCACGATAGAACATAATTATGCAAATCCTCCATAAACTCTTTCTAGATTTAACGTTGTTCAGACGAGACACTGGCAAAATATGAGCTCCTCTTGATATTGTCGATTAAATTTTGAAACAACGGCCAATAGAGATGTCATTTGAGAGGAAGACTTTAGAACGGAAACGGAACGATGAGATAAAAAGAACAACGTGTGGTACATCCAGCATCTAAACACTTCACCTCACCTAGAAATAGCATATTGTCATCACTTTGTTCCGGCAGTTAACCATTCCCTCATTTCCCCATAAATCCAACGTATTTCCTTAGAGTCATAAACATTTATAAAAATAATTACAAAGTAAAAAGCTCAAGTTCAGGACCCTCCGAAATAAATACAAGCGAGACGTTAACTCGAGGTTGTAGGGACAATAATACAGGAAAACCTTCAGGTCAAGCATCAACACAGCGCCTCTGGCATTCAGCACAAACTTTGTGTAACAAACATGACCCTGTTTCAGTGGATGTCCAACCCATATGACTACGAGTAAGTTTGAAACAATAAATGTCAACATTCGTAAGAAAATATAAATGATAACATTGCAGACACCTCATACTTCTACTGCTGTCACAAAAGGCTCAGTACGTATATACAACAAATTTCACGATAAACCAAATATTTTAAAAATCACTGACATAAAAAGCTACTGACAACGAAAGAATTTCCCATTCAATTACCCAAAAGCCTACAGTGCAATATTATCATCGCCAAATTAATATGGCCATAACCACGAAAAGCGTGCTCTAAATGTTTAATAACCTTTAAATATCCTGACTTCGCATTGAATTGGAACCCCTGTGGTTGACATTACAGTTTAACATATTACTAGTATTAAATGTTTAGTGGCGAGAGTAACGATGAATTATACATATATTGACCTTTCTAAATTCGGCTCGCGATCTGATATAATGGTATAATAGATATCTTTGACAACCGGCGAAGTTCGTATGAAATGAATCGTGAGATGAGCTGATCGGAAACTACAGAAATAAACTGTACATGTATTTGTTTTCAGAGACAGAAAAGATGTAACTACGACGTAAAATATAATCCTCGGATAATAATATAATATTTTTGACATCGAAGGTACTTCAAGCTAGAATAGGTATCCAGGGATTGTGTGCTGGCCGGATGAGCTGGCTGAAACGGTCGATGCGTGACCTGCATGATTGTGTGCCGCGTGGATGAGATGTTGTTCGGGCTATCAGTCACTGGTTTGTTTGTTCCTGACTCGATTACTTATATTACAGACCGACCCTGATTTAGATTCACTCGCTCGCCCTCTACTCATATAGGATGCAGAAACCAAAGGCATTTTTTATGTTTATATATATGTTACAGGGAATATGTCCAAACAGGGAACATCTATAATCCCTGAAATTTTCAAGGAATTATTACTATTCCAAAAAGGTAGGGGGTAATACAATGTAAATGTTATTACCAAGTATTTGAGCAAAGATAAGTATTGACACTGTGGAAGAACGTTTATGTTTGTAATTTCAACACCAAAACATATTCCATAGTTTGCAAGTGCCGCAAGCAGTAGTGCCACACAATGCGTATGGTGCCATTCCCCCATTAAACACGTCTGGAACATAATAAGGAGACGTGTGCGTCAACGTCACAGGCCACCGACCACGTTGGCTGAACTTGGCCAAGCGTTGCAAGAAGAGTGGGACAGACTCCCTCAAATCGCCATTTGGAGAGTCATACGCACTATGTCTCGTCGAGTGATTAATGTTTGACAAGTCGTAGCACTACTGATCCGAAAACGTCAACTTTGAAATGTCCCATCTTACCCCTATCGTCCTTCAAGATCGTTGGCTGTCATAACATCAATTGTCATACTTCACGACGCGTTTTTGAGACAAAGTCCCTGAACATATTTTTAAACTGTTTACAATCAGTTAATGTCACTAGTTTTGTATTAAAGAGATAGATATAGTCACTTGTTCTTTGATGTTCACTGAGTATATGGTATTAGGAGAACGAGGCAGAGGAAATCACATAGAACACTGTGACAACTGGTTTAATTGTTCTACTCACGGAATCGAATTCTCTCCATCCAAAACGACTCTTTCATTTTCGGGGATGTAACGTCTGGGTGACTATTCAATCGTCGGTATATGTCTGTGGTTCCACATTTAGGCTGCCCAATGATCAGGAAGTACGGTAGACACCTCAAGGACAGTTTGGAGCGAGTCGGATGTCTTGATGGTATGTCCGGCTTGTTACCGGTATAACACGTCACTGGGGGTATATAGGACTCCCTCCAGCACGGGTTTTTGAAATTTGGAAGGAATGCAAACTCTGGCTGAAATGATGAACATAGGACGATATAATAACTGAGTACTTTTTCATTAGAAGATAAAGTTTACATATACTCTCTACCAAGATTTCAAAAAGCGACATATGATTCTCGCTCGAAACTTATTTGACCAGGGTTACAATAGTCAAGGTCTTACTTGGTAAAGACTTCATAGCTCTTTTGGTAGACATAGGAGGGCATTTCAACATTTGCAAACCCGATGTACCATATGTTCTCGTGTATGTTCAGGTGAACAACTGACTTGCCTTTGCATGTGTTTGTGACGGTGCCACCGAGGGTTCACTTGACATTCACCCGGCCCGCGAACAACTGGTATCATCACTATTTAAAAGTGATTCATAAACATATTCTTATGATACAGTCGGAATCCTGGAAAGGTTTTTTTTCATTTTGAAAGGGCTTTATCGCATTTATTTACGTAAATAAGACTCTTAGGTAATACAGCCGCAAATAGTTATCACTACGGGGGCACCGATAATGTTTATTCCAAGAGAAGTATATAATACTGTTTAAGGCTTCAAACCTGCCCCTTGTGCTTGGCCTGTCTCACATATCGATTTTACATATCAAAATCACCATGGCGTTATGTAGTATTTTGTGTTGGGATCCATACAATCTGTATAAATCTAAAACTGGGCATTCAGAATAATTCACATAATATCCGAAAAATATGATTTTGATACCTATGAAGTGGTGTAAATGTTTTGTTATCGAAAATAACAACATTATATTTTGTTATTTGTCTGATCAATGTTTTAAAATAGCACATTCATTAACAAAACCCATACCTGGTAACAGGAGACAGAGCGACACGCCCTAAAAGAGGGGTGGTATAACAACTCAGTTTACAATGTCACTATCGGGTGCGCTGTTACAGGGAAGGCAGCAACGGCATTTTGATGACCACAGATGATTAGAAACAGCCTGGGGTATATTGTTCCAAATGTGGACCAAAGATTGGCCCTTCTGAGCTGGCATTACTGGCAAGTTTAATTTTCTGGTAGACAACTACACACAAAGTATATAATAAATGGGATATTCCATGTCTTTCGTGAAATAGCATGTCACTCCCATCTCGTGGCGGAGGAAAAGGAAATATTTTCCCTCGTGAAAATATCTTCCTTGTCTCCGTCACTCGAAAAGAGAAATATGATATGAAATACCCTCTGTCGACTCACCATTTGGTGATTAATATATTCAGAAATCAATCTAAACCTAAACTAATCGTCAAAGCATTAAAGCATGCCCGACATCGCAACATTTTTATTACAATTGAGCGTTCAATTTAGCCAAACGTTTTTCTCAACAAAAAATTAAAGGTATTCATTCTGAACGCTTACGAAGTTGACGAGATCCAATTCAGACCATGTATACGAGTGCAGTGTTTGCGACAGATTAAGCCCCATGTTTGCTGCTTGAGTGACGTTGATATGAGAAACCTCCAGCATCCTCTCCCTCCACCTGGTTGAAAGGACCACATTCTTAGTCTGTGATAATGCGGTGTAGAAGTTCGATACAGTATCGGGGTATTCGTCCCACCATCCATACCACAGAGCTACCTTGGGCCCAATCTTCCTTAAAGTCGACACAAATACGAAGACTAATATCAAGGCGACGAAGGTTTTCAACCACATGTATCTCCGCGTCATATTGGGACACCATCTGCTGGAAAAATCAGTGGGTTAAAATGGTATCTTGTTCTGAGCATTTTATCTTTGAAATATATCCACCCGGAAAAAAAAGTTGTATTTGTTTGATGTCACTGATACCGCTTTCAGAGATATAAAAAATCGAGTCTGGACCAGAAAATCCAGTGCTTGAAATCATGAGCTTCGATCAACGCAATTGGGATACAATGACATGCATCATCCACGTCAGCGAGCCTGGCCTCCTGCTCCCGATAGTCGCCACTTACGACAAGCACAGTGGCCTTTTACGTCGAGCATGTGTTGCTGAAAACCTGTTCTAAGTCGGATCGTCATTGATACACGGAAAAATGTTAAGTACCATCCTTTCTATATTTTCAAATACAAGAAGAATAAAATTATTTTATTAATGTGTCACACTTTGCATGTGTAGTAGTTACACACTAAAGGTAAAACTAGCAAAATCCAGCCTCATAAGGCTCACGAGACACAAATGTACATACAACATATCAAAGACTATTAAATTAAGGTATATACTTGTATAGAAACAAAATGATTTAACTAAAGAAAAATGAAAAATTGGGATACAACAGTTAATAAATTCTGTGTGACAGGAAGGAGAGTGGAACTCAAGAATAATGAATTCTACTTTTTTACATGGTGCAGGGGGTTGCGGCTGGGGATTGTGAATAAAGATAATTAATCATAACTTGAAATCAACAGGTACCACAGATAGAAATTGTGGTTCGAATTGAGACATTGTAGAGAAAAGATCATTCGGAAAGTCTGGGTGAATAGGACAGGCAATTAAAAATGACATCCATCTTAATTAATTATACAGCATATAGATTGCAGTGTGTACTTTGCGATGAGGTTACAGGGCGTGTACAACGACCAAGTTCAGTTTCAAGCGAAAGTGGACCACATCGAATTTTAGCTAATATACGTTATCCTCGGTGGCCAATACGTATTACATATTCATCAGTACATAAATCATTTTTAAAAAGACCGTAAGCCCTTAGCTTTTTCCCATTTGGTTTACCTGTATCATTCCAGGAGCTGTGACGCCACTTGGTGCAATGAAGGGTTAACAAATGGGTCCTTAATGCAATTGTAACTAAGCGAGGCGTCCGTGAGATCGAAGTTAACACGTGGAAACAGAACAATAACACGATTGACCTAGGAATTATCGACAGCAGCTGACCAGTTATAAATATAAGAAAAATAGTGAGCGTTACGGTAAGAGCTTATTTAATCTTAACCAGAAGCCTATGATTTAGGCTTCTTGCTAATAAAGACATGAGGTCCAGCCCATGTTGCCGTTGGTAGCCACATTAGATGATTTGCTACTCTCCACCAAACCTGTCCACTTCCTCTACGCGGTTTCCGGCGTAGCGTTCTCCCCGACGTCTGTAGACCCGTTCTCTTCCATCCCCTCGACGGAGGAGAAATCTTGAGTTGTCGCTGAACCAGACATCTCTCCATCGCAGTTGAGGCCATACCCTGTGTTGACGAAACCAGTGCAGTCGTTGTTGACGATGTTGTCGATTCAATATGACGCGTCGAACAGGACGTCATGCTCGTAGACCTGCTGCTCTTAAACGGTTTCGTACGGTCTGGTCGGAGATTCTGCGCAGTCCGAGTATTTTGGATGCGGTTGAGGTGGATGTGGTCGTCCTTTCACGTTTTGGCGCGATTGTGGGCGGGGATGGTTTCTCTTGGTCGTCCCGACCTTTGCCGATCACTAGTTGACCCATGCTGTTGAAACCGATCCCATGGCCTTGTGATGGTGCTGGGCGCTACATTGAAAACCCTGACTACAGCTGATCGGATTCCCCTGCCTGCAAGCGGCCTTTGACGTTGTTTCTTTGCACTTCTGTTAAACTTCGCATGTTGTTGAACTGTCATTGTTCGATTGACGCAGATGACAGGTAGTCAAAACCCCTGCGCTTTAATACCTTCCATAGTGCTGCTGCACGTGCAGTACGTGCAGCTCCTTGGCCCTTTTGTTAATGCACTGGGTGCGTTTCTCCGAATTGTATGTGTTTCCCGACTAATAGTTTGCATGTCCTTGTTGTGATCATTTTGATCTGGGAAATTTACCACTGAGACTATAACACAGGCAGACAGACAGACAGATAATTTATTTGAGTCTCACCTCGTTACATTAATAATACATTGGAAATAAACTCTTTAAAAAAATCAGCATATAAAGTTACGAGCCACTCCCTACGGAGTTATGAGAGACTATGACAAAGGTAAAAAATATATCCATTTTCATATATATTACACCCGATAAAAAGGACTGTACCAGGCCATTCACAAAAGAGAATAGTCTATAGTACTACACGATGTAGAGGATCCGACCCCGGTTGTTAAAATATTCTTGCAGGTCTTGGCAGTTGTAAAAAATAATTCTGGGCTGGACAGTATAAAACCTAATTTCAGTAAATCACTAAAACTATCAAACTCAGGCCATACGTAACGATATTTTGAAATAAGATAAAACCTGAGACTTTCATAGTGTGGACAATGTAATAAAAAATTCCTTTCATCTTCTATTTCATCCGTACATCCGTGAATTCTTTCTGCAAGAGGTGGTATTAGTCTAGCGTCCGGTCTCAACTCTAAGCGACGCTGCACAACATGTAAACGTTGACAGGGCGCTCTTAGAGTTCTAGGGAGACTTTTGTGTACATTTGCTTCAACAATGTAATTTTTTTTAAAGGTGCAGTTAGTTCTCAATTTATTGCCACCTGTCCCACGTTTGCTGTTCTTTAAGTCCAATACTGTCCTCCACTCTTCTTTAAATTCTTCAACATTCTGCATTGTACTTCCAATGACACATATTTACTGCCGTATCTGTTGTTATTGGAGATTATGTGCGTCAAGCCAAGTGTTTCTAATGTTTTGAATTCTAAAGATTGCATTATGTTTTGTTCTGGTTGCCAAGTGGTGACCTGACGTGAAAACTGGATGTGCTAAGCGACCTTGGTGTAGGTTACGGAGGCGCATATAGAGTCGAGAAACACTTCCTCATTGACGGACTGATGGAGGTATCCAGTCCATGTCCCTGAGACTGCATTATGTGGGGTATATTTTCTCACCCCGAGGAAGAATCTCATGGCTCTGTTCTGTACAGCCTCTATGCATGTTGTATCTTCCCCATATACCAGCACCGTTTTCTATCGCCGACCACACCACAGAGTCATAGAACTTTGAGAACGTATTATATTGCATTCCTCCAAGCAGCTTGTATTTCGATATGAGGAGGCCAAGAGCTCTACTGGCCGAGCTGGCTGCTGCTCTTGCCATCCGATTAAAATCCAGGTGATCTGTTAAAAGTATGCCGAGATACTTATAAAACTCCACGACCTCCAGGTTGTGGTCACCACATTTAAAAGTATAGTCTGTTCGAGTTGTTGTGGCGCTTCTAAAATTGATCACTATTGATTTGGATACATTAACAGACATAGAGTTGGACTGACACCATGTGTTAAGACAATCTAATAAAACGTTCAGGTCAGTTTCCGATTCTGCAAGTAGCACCAAATCATCGGCGTATACTAAAATGCCAACTGTTGATGCCATCTCGTTGATGACTACACCGATTGACAGATGGATTATGGCAGAAATAAGGTCATTTATGAACATGTTTATCAAAATCGGTGACAGCAAACATCCTTGTTTGAGACCGCATTTCACGTCAAACCATAAAGTACATTTCCCGTTAAGTCTCACACAACACTGTACACTTTTGTAGAGTGACGGTAATTGCATTACAAATTTTACTTTTTATGTTGGCCTCAAGTAGTTTTGTCCACATGTGTTTTTAACACATTAAACCACTTCATCTTGCCCCTCTTGGTCCTCTAAATGTGCTGATATAAATACGTCTGCTAAAAGAGAGTCTCAAATAATGCTTCAGGATCGTGTGAACTAGTGGAGTCTGCAAAGGGTAAATAACAACTACCCAAACTATAGGAAAGTTTAGATGAGTGTGTGACGTCAGTTTCGTCCATAATACTTCCTCCTCATCGTCATTTAAAACTGATACATCGTACTTTTAGCAACAGCGTTCGAGATTAAAACACCTACCCGTCCCGACACCCTCTTGGCCCGCTTGCGTATTGACTTCCTGTTATTTCCGAACCACTTGTAGTGAAGCCTCAAGCGAAATCACGTGGCCCTAAACAAGACATGTTTCACATACAGAAAGCACATCACAGTATACATGTGTATATGGTAAGCAATGCAATATCTAACAAGTTTATTTTTTCTAGTCTGGTGAACCATTCACCATCATTCAACGACCAGATCCCCAGTGAGTCCTAGCTTTTAAGAGTATTATCTGCTGGCACAAGCTGCGTATTTTGGAATCGAAAATCGTTACTCTTACCAAGTTCGTATAGAGGGAATATTGTTGAGTGCGGCTTCAAACCACCAACAGAAGAACAAATCTATAAGGCACTAAATATACATTTCCGTTAATGATACATTAATGTGCTACGGCGGGATAGCAGATGATAGGGGGTTTAGGAAATGAAGTTTATTCTTTGAGAGGCATTTAGGAATTGGAACAGTAATGTTCAGTGAACAGTGACGTCGATTTGTATCTATCTTCTGGTAAAAACAAAACATGGGTTAGATTTTAAGATCAGAAAAAACAACATTAAAATGATTTCATTGAGTAGGAAGAGTCAGGAATTAGGTGTGTACTGGATTATTTTGTTGTTTTAAGATGTAAGTTTGGCAGACAGACAGAGTAATACTTTATTTAAGTCTGACCTTGGGTATGGCTATATTACAAACAGGTTAAAATATATACAAATGTACACATCCAGAGACAAGTATATACAGTAAAACAATACATATCTGTTTACAGTATACACGCATAAGGTTCTCTAAATCTATAAGGCTCTAAATATACATTTCAATAAAAAAATACATTAATTTGCAACAGCTGGATAGCATATGATAGTGGGTTTGGGCAATGTTGAAACACGTGCTTCTTTTTACATTAGAAAACCGTATTTCTGTACATTAGTTAAAAATATATTTATAAAACCAGGTAAGTATTAAAAATTAGAACACGGCATGTAGAAAACTTGGTGAACGATAACAATCCTTGAATGAACACCCATATCTGCGCTATTCAAACAGTGACAATAAGCGACTGCAGCGTCTACGCGCCGAAAATCTGTTTGTTTCTAATAAGGAAATACATATGTTTCTAATAGACCCTATTGGCGACAAAGCGTTGCAGCAATGCCGCACAGCGATGTAATAGAAAGATGCAATAATGCAATGAAGTGAGATGGGACTGTGTGTTCAAACAAAAGAACAGATAAAGGGATGCGCTCTCGGCAAGCCATTAACGTAAATACACTTTGTCTTTTACTGTATGACCTTGCACGAAAGGACGATAGAATATAATGAAATCAAAGATTCAGAACATTATGATTATGCGGACGTATTGGTTAAGTGTTGTTTAGACTGTGAGACGATAGCTCATTTCACGTGTTTTGACCTAAATGCATTTAGATAGAACACATCATATGTGTATTCCGTTTGGGATTTAAAACATTCTTAATCATGTTTAGATCTGAACATGTCGTGTCTATGTTTACATTCTAAACACATTTTGTACAGTGGAAGAGGCAACTAACGTGATCGAGTGGTCAGGCTTGTTGACTTGGTTGATGCATGTCATCGTATCCCAATTTGGTACATTGTAGATCGACGCTTATGAAGCCAATTACTGGATTGTCAGGTCCAAACACAATTATTTACATATATCTGAAACATGCTAAATGCGATGTTAAACAACGAACAAACAAACAAACAAAATTGAATGAAGTCAGTGTGTATATGGTGATTTATGATTTATGAAATCACGTCTTCATATGCTGCTGGGAAAGGGAATCTGTATCAGATAATTATAGCAATAATCACAATCACAACAGAAAGTGCACATGATGTTGCATATGTTAAGAACGTATTTTGTCACTGTATCAATCCATTGTTTGACGTATACATACCGTTAAGACAAAGTTTGCTTACCTAAAGGCGTATCGCAGTCACAGCATCATATATGAACTGCCATCTTGTAAACATGAAGCAACAGTATATAATTACACCGACATAAATGTCAAACTCGATAGCAGCAACAATATCAACGATTACACTCCTGCTGCCTGTCTGTACAGTTCTCCTGCATATTGTATTGGCCTAGTGGTGGTAACAACCCATTGGGGGGTGGTATCATAAGTAGTAATGCTGTATTTACACAACCACTTTCAGCATTACTCATAGTGTACACGTGGATAATTGGCACCACACTGTTGACTCGCGAGAGCGTCTGAAATTTGAGGAGGCAAAATATAGATGGATTCCTGAAGTGATGATACAGGTTTGCATGAGTACATCAATTTCTACCTTTAGGCACTTGCCGCGTTCTAAGATACCATGACACAGTTAGTATATGGTAACGTGGCTTATCCTTGGGTAACATACCCAAAGAGGGTTTGGGTGATCCTGGCACGGCTCATCATCAGCTCAGGGTCCTTGTCCGAGCGAATGGGACTCCCAGGAAGCGCTGCCTGGTCAAATCCACCCGAGAGAGAGAGAGAGAGAGAGAGAGAGAGCGAGAGAGAGAGAGAGAGAGAGAGAGAGAGAGAGAGAGAGAGAGAGAGAGAGAGAGAGAGGATTAAGTTAACAGAGATTTCGTGTGGCTATGTAAAAGGTTTTATCACTTTGATTGACAAATATCGTATCGTATAATGTCCTCAAATGAATACAGCTTTCGCTTCTTTGTAAACGTGACTGAAAAATGTGAGACAATCCCCTGGGGGGCGTATCGCAATTCAAATTGTTATTTATTCATAATTACCTCTCTTAAATTTCAGTATACAAATCATAATACCCAATGCTATCCAAACGTTGTTTTTTATCACCGGGAAACCGGGCGCCTCAGTTGTATTTTGTCATTTGTTTTTATGCAAAAAAGTAAATATAAAACTTCAACGACAGAGAATTATCAGTCTTGATTATCTACCCAAAAAGGCAAAGCAGTGAGGAATATTATATGAATGGAAAACTGAAAATCAGTAATGACACAAGGTGTTCGCGAAAAGCATAAGCATGCCTTGCTCTCCTGGTAAGTCACACTTGATCTTTTGAGACAGACCCTAAACGTGTGTGGATAGCCTCTCATTTCATTACTGATTGTTCTATGGACGCGATCAAACAAGAAGGTGGCGGCGAGTTTACTTAAAGGTTAAAGGCTTTGTTGGGTCATGGCATCCCTCGTAGAGATGGAAGGGGTCCCTTCACAGGCTGGTATAACCTTTCACTTCTACGCGGGGGCGGGGCATCCGGGGGTTAAACTTCTGTCAGAACCTGGCGCTTGGCACAAGGCGCCAGGAACAATCATCCTAAGGTCTTCTTCTTTAAATGACATCTGCTATTTATTAAGGACAAGTACTATTAGACTCTGGAACACAAAACATACTGTCAAACTTTGTAACATTATCTATCAACTTCGACATTATGTTGTGCAGACTTTCAAAGGCAATTACTAAATATTCGATGTCACTTGTCAACACGAAGCGCGAGGCGATGACCTTTGAGTTTTCACACCTCCATACTCATGGGAATTTACTTTCTTAATGAAAATAGTATGAGGGGCGATTTCAGCCGGTAGAGCAGGACATGCATACCCTTTTCGCCTGGTGTCATATCACCGATTTCAATGATCTATACATTTCATTTTCATTACTATGTTGCTTTTAACGCCTATTTGCCCTATTTGTATTGGTTATTCTCTGGCGTCGAGGTTTGAATTGTTGTTGTTGTTGGTTTGTTGTTTAACGCCGCACTCAGCAATATTCCAGCTATATGACGGCGGTCTGTAAATAATCGAGTCTAGACCAGACAATCCAGTAATTAATATCATGAGCATCGATCTACGCAATTGGGATCGATGACATGCATCAACCAAGTCAGCGAGCCTGACCACCCGATCCCGTTAGTCGCCTTTTACGACAAGCATTGTCGCCTTTTGTGGCAAGCATGGGTTCCTGAAGACCTATTCTACCCCGGATCTTCACGGGTCGGTTTGAATTGTACTAGATCAAAAAATTCAAAATATCAAATACCAGTCTTAACGTTGTATGCGTAGAAATGGCGACTTTTTTCTTACTTTACCTTTTCGATTTGGACATTATGAATAAATACTATATACAAACAAACTTATTTTATGTCTTGGTAACAACGGCCGTGAAGACGTACCAGCTCGGTAGATTGCAGAAGATGCTGAAGATTAGAAAATATCACTTGTTAAATTAGCACAATTCACTACTTAAACCCCGCTGTTAAAAGTGTGTTAAGCATGTATACACATAGAAGACATGTTTAGGAATGTGTTTCAATCTTAAACGGTGTGCAAATTTGGTGCAATCTATCTAAACACTGTTATGGTCTAAACCCATGAAATAAGTTATCGCCTCATAGCCAAAACAAAATCTAAACACAGCACCCCCCATAATCCAGACGTGTTTAGAATTTAGACACCTATATATGTACATGTTTAGAATTATAACACCTTTAAACATGTTAGAATTAAAAACTCTTTAAACGTGTTTAGATCTTAAACATGTTGACAGTTGACAAATGTTTAGAATTTATAAACTTTGGAATTGAAACATGTTTAAAGTTAAAACATGTTTCGAATTAATAATTAAGCATGTTTGAACATGTTTAAATAAAAGGAAGGACAACGAATCAAGAGGTTGCAGGTTCGAATCTCAGAGGTTTAAAATCATTTTTGTTCATCATTGTATTGTTGCTATATGCCCTATATTATTTTTCTCATGCAGGAAGCTGACAGTGAAAGAATATCTGATTACCACTTAACCTTTTTTAGTGAGTGACGATAGGCCACTTCTTAAAACAAGCACTAACTGATCAGTAAAGTGTACTAGAGTCTGAGTGGACAGTGAAATTCATTTACCTACTAGTAAATTTTTGAAGGTAGTAACCGACCTCTGATGAGTGTTTATTGGGGTCATTGGCTCAGATACCCGCGGTTTGTTGGTCTGTGTTACACACAATCACACACAGGCACATGATAGATGTGCAAGTGTAGATTTATTCAGTGTGAAAAAGAACAGACTCTGTGTGTTCTTCAGACCATATATCAGACGACAATTAACTTTTTTAAACTATTAAATTTTCATCCCTGTGTTTTTTTGTTTGTTCCTAAACCCTCAATAATAAGCTATCCAGCTGTCGCACATTAGTGTGTTATTGATGAAAATGCCTTTTAGATATGGTGACTGTATATATTTGTCTCTGGCTGTGTACATTTGTATATATTTTAACCTGTTTGTAATATAGCTGTACCCAAGGTCAGACTTAAATAAAATATTACTCTGTCTGTCTGCCAAACGTACAGCTTGAAACAACAAAATAGTCCAATACGCACCTAATCCCGTGCTATTTCTATTCAATGATCTGATTTCAAATTTATAATCTTCAAATCTTACCCATGTTTTGTTTTTTACCAGAAGATAGATACACATCGACTCTATTGTTCACTGAACATTACTGTTCCAACGTATATAAAGATATAAACCCAGCTAACACACGACGTTGTCACAACGTTGTGGAAAGGTTGTGGATTGGTAACGTCGTGATATTACGTTGTCACAACGTTGTTATAACGTCAACGTGCAACGTTATTTCACAACGTTATAACAACGTTGCACATTCACGTTGTGAAAACGTTGTGCATTGGATATCACACAACGTTTTGTAGCTACGTTTCTGAAACGTCGGTGAAACGTTATAGAGTTTGCTTCTCGAACGTCATAAAGGAATAGAACTGCTTTATCAAAATCTACATGAATTTGTCAGAATACCAAGGCAGTAATACATTACCTTTCTATATATTCGGCATTTAAATTTTCATCTCTTAATACTAAAATTTCCAGAACGTAATTGCGTATCTCTATGACAACGTTATTCCACAACGTAACAACAACGTTGCAAATTAACGTTGTGATAACGTTGTGCTTTGGACATTACAACACTTTTGGTAAATGATGTTTAGGAAACCACTTGTAGATCTACCATCTCCTAGTTTTATTTTTTTTAAACATATATATCTATAACGAAGTTATCTGTCTACTAAATGTTGTCACAAGCAATATTACAGTAAAAAACAATTGCGCCCATTTTATGCGGCGTGAGAGCGACTGCTGAAAGGTTTAGACTGTTGCCTCGTGAAGTGACGTCAGAATGACGTCACATTGTCGCGGAAGATTTGTTGTCACCAGCCATCTTAGTTCAAGCTCACTCTAGACATATTAGAAGTCTACAACCAAGAGATTGTGCAGCAACTGGAACTGGACAGATGATCTGTGAATTCGGATGAGGTAAGTTAATTTTTCAGAAGCAGCCTCCGCTTGTTGATATGTTTCTGTACATGCAGATCGTCAAATGATTTAGCCTAAATGTATCGTATTATTCAGCAGTGGCAGGGTTTAGAATGCAGTTTGCCGGTCACTTTCACTGATTCACTGAGCGTCAGTGTTGATATTAATATGTGATACACAGAACATAATGTATATAGAGGTGAAGGAGGCTCAAGACTTTTTTCCATATTATTATTTTATGGATACCAAGGGTAATTACCAAGGGCAAGCAGTATATGTTTGACCAGAATTCAGTCTGGCGGCGTTTTGTGGCCGTCATATTATGTTCGGGTTTCGATCGTAAACGTGTAGGTCTGTAAATAGGCCTAACTTATGCATCGCCTACTGACCACTGACAGTTATCGCCATTTCTTCCGTGTTATTTCGGAAATCATTACTATTCAAAGTTTACTTGTACTAATCTTCGGACTTTGATTTTTGTGAAACAATGTGTCTCATTCAGGCCATGGGAAAGGTTTAGTAGATTTCTCTTATACAGCGAAGAGAGGGAATCAAAACAATGGAAGTATTTTCAGATCGACTCTCTGTGGGCTACTAGTTATAACCTTAGTCTTAATGCGCTCAATGATGTTATGAAAAATTGTATTTTCGGGAAGAGATAGAAACATACTTGTTGTTTCCGAAAAGGCCTAATTAGCACTGACTGAAGTAGCCTAAATGTGGACCATCAGGTTGTTGGTGCTGTCTATACATTTTAT